CGCGCAGCCGCCTGCAGCCTGCACGGGACCCGCGCCGCTTGCCTCCGCCCGGTGGCACCTAGGCCTGGTGTGGCCCAGCCGGACCGAGAGGACGCCAGCCGAGACCTGGGGCTGATCGTGATTGGGTGAGTCTTTATCTGGGCTCGGAGGTGGAGTGAATTCTCCGTGGTTCACAACCTGCGTGCGATGTGCGTGTTTTCCTGCCTGCGGATCCAGAGCCCGTCTGATGCGTTTCCCTGAGTCCATTCACGAAATCTTGCGTGCTGACATCATCCTGCCCTCCCAAGTGAAGTTGCTTACTTGTTTTGAGAAGCGTTCCCTGCCTCCGGAGAGCCGCAGTTGCTCCTAGGACGGTCTCAGTCGGGGCCACGTCAGGGTGCTAGCTGGAGGAACAGTCTATGTTGCAGTTCAGAACACCCTGCATCTCAACCCATCAGAATACAGTGTTCACTTCAGACGATCCTTTCTAGCAAAATACAACACTTTGAAAACTGCCTTCACTGTCTAACATCTGAAATCCTTTTCTACTTACCATTTTACAATTGACGTAACAGTTGAATATATTTACGGGGTACAGCGTGATGTTTCATTACACGAATGCACTGTGTGATGGTCAAAACAGGGCAGTGAACAGTCACCACCTCCACCACGATTATCGTGACTTTTGTGTCGTGAACATTTGCAATCCTCTCTCCTAGCTTTTTTTTTTTTTTTTGCTACAGGACACGAGCGCTCGTCAGAGAGACAGAGACAGAGAGACAGAAAGCGAGAAATCACTCCCCAGGGGAGATGGCCACACTGCAATCCCTTCTCCTCCATTCTGCTCTCAGGATCTTGGGCACGTGTGCACATGCGCTCGGCTGAGTTTAAGCCACCGGGTCCGGGACTCGAACAGCAGTCAACTACATGGGAGTTCAGCGACATAGCCATTACGCTAACTGCTGGTCCCTCTTCTAGCTATTTTGAAATACGCATTGAAATGCCGCCAACTGTCATGGCTCTGTGGTGCTACAGTACTGGAGAACTCATTTCTCGGCTTTCAATTTTCTATCTGCTGACCACGTCCTCCCTACCCTCCTCTTCTAGATGCTGGTATCCACCTTTCTAATCTCCACCCCTCTGTGATCAAATCCTTTCGTTTCTCTAATGCACTGAGAACTTGCAGTATTTGTCTTTCAATGCCTGGCTTGTTCACGTACCAGAGTTTCCTCCATGCTTATCCATGTTGCTGGGAATGACATCCCATCCTTTCCATGGCTGTATAATATTCCATTGTGTTTTTACACCACAGTTTCTGTATCCACTTCTCTGATAGGCACTTAGGTTAATGCTGCATCTTAGCTGTTATGAATAGTGCTGCTATAAATATGAGGGTGCAGAAATCTCTTTGACATAATAATTTCCTTTCCTTGGGCTATATATCCAGTGCTGGGATTACTGGACCCCAATTTGCCTCTGTTTTAGATGTTCTAGGAAACGTTACAGTTTTACATAATAATGGTTTACTAATTTACATTCCCACCTACAGGGCACGAGAGTCCCCCTCTCTCCCCATACTTGGAAACGATTGCTGTACTGTGTTGTTTGAGAATAAGCCATACTGATAGGGGAGAAGTGAAAGTTCATTGTGGTTTTCGTTAGAATTTCCCTGATAATTAGTCACCTTGTATGTATTTTTATGTTCTTGTTAGCCATTTTTATTTCCTCTTTTGAGAATTGTCTTGTTAGGTCAATTGCTCCTTTTTAAATCAGACTGTTTTTTTAATTGTTGGATCGTTGGATGAGTTTTTGCATATGCTGGTTATAGCTTGCAAAAATTTTCCTCCACTTTATAAATGATCTCTTTGCTCTGTTGATTATTTACTTTGTAGACTAACATTTCAGTTTGTACAGGGCAATGTGACAAAGATTTATAGGCTCTCAGAGGGCACCCCATAAAAGGAAAATGAGCAAGTCATTTCCTTAACAGTGGGAATGGAAACTTGGACTTAGTCTGACAAATTAATGCAGTACCATTAATTGATGCATTTCAGTCTGCCCTAAGGGAGCCTAGACCCTGTACCCAAATTAAGTCTTAAAGGTGCCGCCAAGCAATATTTGATCATCTCTAAAATTTAAGCAGTATAGACCAGACCTAGTGTAAAATTGTTGCATCACCATGCATTATGTAATTTGAGCCGAGCAGACATTCCACCATATTCGAGTTTTCAAATACTTAACAAGATGCATCCTAACGTTCTTAGACTGTATAGAATATGTAGGATTTGGTAGTTTGTGGGACATGAAAGATGCATGAAATACCACAGCTGTGCTTGACTAGAGGACAAAGAAACCAGAGGACCAGAACGAGAGTTAATTTTTAAAAAAAGAGTTTAGCGTAAGGAAAGGTCGTTTATTAAGTAGAAGTACACGCCTAAGAGGTAGACTTTGTTTTTAGTTCACGTGGGTACCTTGTTTCTGGAAAGAAATGCAGATCAGAGGCCCAGGTCAGGGAACAGATTCCATCCCTACCTTCTGGGTGACCTGGGGCTCAAAGTTGTCTTCAGTTTCTTCTAAATTGGGTGGTCAGATTCCATGTGTATGTGTTGTGTGTTATATTGGCCGTCCGAGAAATCACCCCCCAGGGGGGATGGCCATGTCGCAATCTCTTCTCCTCCATTCTCCTTTCGGGATCTTGGGCACACACGCACACGCACCCTGTGTGAGTTTAAGCCACCGGGTCCGGGATGCGAACTGCGGTCAACTACATGATTGTTGCATCACCATGCATTATGTAATTTGAGCCGAGCAGACATTCCACCATATTCGAGTTTTCAAATACTTAACAAGATGCATCCTAACGTTCTTAGACTGTATAGAATATGTAGGATTTGGTAGTTTGTGGGACATGAAAGATGCATGAAATACCACAGCTGTGCTTGACTAGAGGACAAAGAAACCAGAGGACCAGAACGAGAGTTAATTTTTAAAAAAAGAGTTTAGCGTAAGGAAAGGTCGTTTATTAAGTAGAAGTACACGCCTAAGAGGTAGACTTTGTTTTTAGTTCACGTGGGTACCTTGTTTCTGGAAAGAAATGCAGATCAGAGGCCCAGGTCAGGGAACAGATTCCATCCCTACCTTCTGGGTGACCTGGGACTCAAAGTTGTCTTCAGTTTCTTCTAAATTGGGTGGTCAGATTCCATGTGTATGTGTTGTGTGTTATATTGGCCGTCCGAGAAATCACCCCCCAGGGGGGATGGCCATGTCGCAATCTCTTCTCCTCCATTCTCCTTTCGGGATCTTGGGCACACACGCACACGCACCCTGTGTGAGTTTAAGCCACCGGGTCCGGGATGCGAACTGCGGTCAACTACATGGGAGTCCAGTGACACAGCCATTATGCTAATTACTGGTCCCTAGGAATGCTGATCTTATAAAGAATCTGGGCAATGTGAAGGGAAAAATTAGTTTTTTTATTTTGAGAATCTTCTCGGTTTAAACACATTCCTTCCACCCCCAGGCAAAGAATGAATCTTCAGGAAGAATACATTATTGTTTATTGAAAACAAAACAAAACCGGCTGGGGTCTGATGAGTGAATTATTAGCTTCAAGTTGCATAAAACACAGAAGAGCTAGAAGCAGGAAAGGTGGGAGCAAGCAAAGCTGAAGCTCCGTTAGTGATTTTGGGGAACAGCGTTCTCTAGATTTCTGTCTGTCTTACCTATATACGCACATGTACATGCACACATATGCACACGCACGTGTATATCCATGTATGTGCATGTGCGGTGAGACTTCTACTTCTCGCTTGCTCTCTCTCCACATACACACACACAGACACGTGTGCACACACACACATGCACACACACACATTCACTAGAGAGAGAGAGAGAGAGAGAGAGAGAAAGAGAAAGTACCCTCCCCATACGGAGCATGATCACACTGCAGACTTTTTCCTCCACTTCTCCACCCATCAGGATTTTGAGCATGCATGTACATGTGCCTGACATGTTTTCATACCTTCATGGCCACGATTTGCGCTTGGTCAGACGCAGGGGACCTGACTCTGCAGCGCAGGACTTAACTGGTGTACTACTGTGAGCACTGCCCATTTGACTGGCAAGGGGCGGGCTCTCAGCTACACAAATAAGAGCTATAACTTTTATTTCTTTATAGAGAATAAAAAATTCCTCCAAAAATACCTTGAGTTTGGAGACTATTTTCATGCCTGGTCACACTGTCCAAATACCATGTAAAAGTTTCCTTTTGTATGAAAGCCACCATGTAATGTGTTAGACTGAGTATTCCGAATATTATAGAGCAAAAATGTATTCTGTGTTTGAATTTAATCTTTGCCTGTTGATTCTTTCAACCCACATAGAGAATGTCTGTTGGGTGACAAGCAGTTTTAAGTGCCATGGATTTGGAAAATGAGTAAGGCCAGCAAGTGTCAAGGCTGGATCCCCTATGGCCGACCACAGTTCGAGTCTGAGAACTGGCAGCTTGAAAAACATTTGCCTGTGTGTCCAAAATTCCAAGGCAGGGAGAAGGGATTGTGGCAGTTCTCTCTTTCTTTCCAGTGAGGGCATGTGTCCTATAGCAAACATTTTAAAAAAAATGAATAAGAGGTCATAATTACACTACAATAGGTACAATAGGTTGATAAATGAATAACGGGTCAAGGTCACAATAAAAGTTAAAATGTCAAGAGACCTACATAATACAAAATGCTTTGGGAGGTGCAAGAAACAACAAAAACTCAGCATTTCCAGAGTCATGTCTGATACTAATGACGGTGAGCTATTATAAGCTTGATTTACCCAGCACTGGTTACGTAGGCACGTTACATACTCTGCAAAGTCTCACGATTGTACAGAGAAGTTGATGGTATTGTCATTATTTTACAGGGGTGGCAGATGTTGAGTCCAGGAGAGAAGTAAGTTGTTCAGAGTCATTTACGAAATGAATTCTATGCACTGTTGTTATTATGCAGAATGAAAGAATATTTTAGTTAATTCATCACTCTGGGTTCTAAAATTATTTCTTAGTAGCATATTAACTCACATACCAGTGTGAATTCTTAATGTTCAAAACATACTTATTTAATATAACTTTTAGTTGATTGTTGATTATTTTATGTCATCAGTATTTTGGGGTTTATCTAAAAAGTTGTTGAGAGGCCATAGGTAGTGCAGTGGTTAAGTGCTGGACACCAACACGGCCAACCGGAGTTCAAGTCCTGGACTCAGTGACTTGAAACTCACACTGGGCGCTTATGTGCATACTCCAAATCCCAAGAGGAGAAGGGACTGTGGCATGGCCATCCCCCTGTGGAGTGATTTCTTATTTTCCCTCTCACTGTCTCTCTCTGCCTCTTCCTAGCAAGTGCATGCATCCTATGGAAAAAAACCTTATAGGGACCAGCAGTTAGCCTAATGGCTATGTCACTGGACTCTCATGTAGTCGACCATGGTTCACATCCCAGACCCGGTGGCTTAAAAAAACTCACGCCTGGCGCGTGTGCGTGCGTGCCCAAGATTCCGAGAGGAGAATGGAGGAGAAGGGATTGCAGCGTGGCCATCCCCCCTGGGGGATGATTTCTGGCTTTCTGTCTCTCTGTCTCTGTCTGTCTGTCTGGTGAGCGCACGCGCCCTATAGCAAAAGCCTCTTAAAAACAAAAACAAAAACAAAAGAAAAAAACCTTATATATATAAAAAAATGTAGTCATCTGCAACTGATAATTAGTGGTTTAAAACAACTTACCCAGGACAAAGATAAATCAGCTTATTAGTATAAAAGCTTGTTCTCTATTCTTTTCTCTGGAACCCCTTCATTAACACTTTATCCTTTGAATTACTTGATTGTGCTTAAGATATATAAGCAATAAGAAGGGGAAAAATTGTGCTGTTTTTCTGTCATGTACAAGATATGTCCATGACAACAGAGGTTTCTGTTAATCTCTGTTTATAGTAATTAGTTTTTAAAATTCCCTTGGGCTGGCAGGTGGCGTGGTGGTTAAAGGTGCTGAACTCCCACATGGCTCACCACAGTTCAAGTCCTGGAATTGGTGACTTTCTTTCTCACTTTCCCTCTATCTTTCTCTGATCAAATTTAAAAAATAATAATAAATAAAGTTAAATAAAATAATAAAATAATTCTCTAAATTTTTTTTAAAGTTCCCTTTGTTGTAAAGAACTATAGATGCATAACTAAGGACAGAATTGATTCCATTTACATTAAGAAATAGAAATGTTGAAAAGTAGGTACTATTTTCATTGACACTAAAATACACACACACGAGTGTATATATATATATATATAGATATAGATATAGATATATATTTTTAAGTGCGTGCTAGAGTGGTATACTTGTCACAAATACTGAAACTTAAAAGTTTTAAAGTTTTTTTTTTCCCTTGAATTCGCTGCAATATCTTTTTTTTTTTTTTTTTTTAAGGGAGAGATTTCTGCTATAGGGTACACGTACTTGCCAGAGAGACAGAAAGCAAGAAATCACCCCATATGGGGGCTGGCCACGCCACAATCCCTTCTCTTTGATTCTCCTCTTGGGTGTCTGGGCATACATACATCCAGAGTGAGTTTTAAGCCACTGGGTCTGGGATTTGAACCCTAGTCGACTACATGGGAGTCCAGTGATGAAAACCATTGACCCTCTGCTACAGTATCTTAAGTTGTATTTTATTTATATTAGAAAATATCAATTCTCTTAAAAGAAAAGCAGTTGATGGTATCAGCAGATGGCGTAATAGTTACGTTGTTGGACTCCCACGTAGTCAACCACAGTTTGAGTCCCAGACCCGGTGGTTTAAAACTAACACTGGGTACATGTGCGTGCATGCCCAAAAGCCCAAGAGGAGAAGGGATTGTGGCATGACCATTCCCCCTGGGGAGTGATTTCTCACTTTCCATCTCTCTATGTCTCTCTGGAGAGTGCACGTGCCCTGTAGCAAATATCTCTCTCTCTCTCAAAAAAAAAAAAAAAAAAAAGGAAAGGCATTCTCTCTCTCTCTCTTTTTCTCACACACACGCATACACACACAGAGAGATAAAAAAATTGGTATGTGGAGAGGTGGTTGTAGCATGGTCATCCCCCTGGGGGGTGATTTCTCACTTTATGTGTCTCTGTCTGTCGAGCGCACATGCCCTATGGCAAAAACCTCTCAAAAAAAAAAAAAAAAAAAAGATTTGAAATTGCTTACTGTTAAATATTAGGAAGAGATTTTGACTAGAGTCAAGTAAATATTTACAGTTCATAGAAAGGACATTTTAATGATTAACCTGAACTGCGCTACACCGTTTGATAGTTTATTTAAAGTTTACCTGTTTCTTCTGTTTTACATCCTGGGAATTGTAAAGATGACAAGTCCTAATTCTCAGTTTCTTTAAATCATAGTGTGTGTTTCGGGGGACATGAAAGGAGAAAAGTCACGTTATACAAGAACATTTGCAAGTTGTAATGAATAAAATTCTATTATACTTGAGACTTTTCATGTTTTATTTTATTTTTCAGAAAAGGACTGTCAGAAGGATCTAAGAAGCACAGTTTCATTGTGAAAAGCAAAGACCCCTTACCTACGCATTTTACAAGAAATGTGCAGAAAGCCATCGATAAATACACCTGGTAAGAATTAACCTGTTCAGTGTTTCTGGTTGCAAAATCAAATCAAAATGCCCCCAACAAATGTGGGAAACAGAATTTAATTTAGTCCTTTAAGGACTATCAATTTCTAAAATGAAGATGGAGTTGTATTTGTAACTAGTGAAAATGTCACACTGCAAAACTATTTTTCCATTAGCATACTGTGAAATCAACAAATATAGTTAATGAAAGAAAGGGAAATTAGGCTCAGAAGAGTGAATCTCTTCCCACTATGTGATATTTCTCTTGCTTGTGTTCATCCCACAGTGAGTCCCTGTCATCACTTTCATCCAGCGGAAGCCGCACACCCACGGAAGCCCACAGCTCTTGGCCTGGGTCTGCCACACCCAGTTCTGCCACTGGCTTGTCTACTGAGAGGAGCTCTGTTTATTCTTGGAGAGATGACGTATGTCTCAGAATGTTGTGGATAATCTAATGACTACAGTTTAAAATGAAAATGTGCCTTTTTTTTCTTTTTTAATTTGCCAGAGGGCACATGTGCTTGCACCCTATGGGTGATGGATACGCTGCAATCCCTTCTCCTCCATCTCTCCTTTCTATCGGAATGTTGAGCACATATGCACATGTGCCAGGCAGGCTTCCCAAGCCACCAGGTCCAGGATTCGAACTGCAAAATTGGCCATGTGGTTCCAACCACCCTAACCAGCATGCCATGGGCTGGCCCAGAAGTGCTTTCTTATGTTCAAAAAAATCTTACCAACTGCAGAAGCACTACCCAATTACACACATACAGATAAGGCGCTTGCGTTACATGTAAAAATATTAAAATGCCAAAACAGAGAGAAGAGTAAATATCACTCGTACTGTCATAGCCCAGAGTCTTAACTATTGGGAGTTTTGTTTTGTCCCCCGTCCAACCCTTTCCCCACAATATGTTATAAATGACTTCTTGTGTAGTATCTATGGCTGGAAATTCAGAACAAACACTGAGAATTAGAAACCTGAATATGAACAGTTTTGGGAAACAAAACCTGTGAAACATCACTATGATTCTCAAATCACTGTGATTAGAGAATTTCCCCTCAGTCTGATTCAAATATTTTGCCTTTTCTATTTATTTATTTTTATAGAGGCTTTTTTTGCCTTAGGGCACATGTGCTTGCTGGGGAGAGAGAGAGAGAAAGAAACAGAAACAGTGAGAGGGAAAGTAAGACATCACTCCCCAGGGGGGATGGCCACTCTGCAATCCCTTCTCTTCCATTCCCTTCCCAGGATCTTGGGCATGTACACACACATGCCTAGCATAAGTTTCAAGCCACCGGGCCCAGGACTTGAACTGCGGTCAGTCATGTAGGAGTCCAATGACGTAACTGCTACACCATCTGCTGACCCTTGCTTTTCCTATTTAATCTTAGTGGAAGCTGTTAACTTTCACCCTTCTTTTGTTTTGTGTGATTCTGAGGTGGGTGATCTGTGAGGCTACAACCCTGGCTGCTGTTAGGAACTGTGCAGACCCTTAGTCTTCTGCCTCTTTTTCTCCTCAAGTGTCTGAGAATCCTTTTGTCAGCCTCCACTACAGCATTTTATGTGTTTCATTTTGCCTCTTTGTTTCTGTTCTGTTTTTCTCTGTGCTGTGGTTTGAATATGTTCCCTCAAAATTCATTATTAAAATTTGGTGAGACATTGTGAAGGTATTAAGAGGGTGGAAACTTAATCCAGTTATAGAACCTTTGAGAAGTGATTAGGATTGAATAAGTGTATCAATCAGTATAGCTCCCCAAGGTATTATCAGTGTAGCCCCCATGTTTAAGTCCTAATGGGTTTATAAGGAGAGGGAGACAGATACAGAGACACACATGAACACAGACATGCATGTTTCTGCTCTCTTGCCATGTGATGCCTTCGATTATGTTACCCACTAGCAGGGAGACTCTCACCAGATGTGATCCCTTGACTTTGAACTTCCAAATTTATCAGCTAAATACACCTCCACTCTTACACATCAACCAGACTTAGATATTCCGTTATTAGCAACAGCATGGTCTGGAGCACTTTGCTTTCTTTAAAAGCAGTTCTGTACACCTCAGAGCACATCTGACTCAACTTCCTCATAGGTATGCTGCAGTGATTCTGAAGGGGATGGGGAGGAGAAAGGAGCTGGGAGGGGAGTGTGAGAAAGTCAGCTTAGAATCACTCTGAGGACTTTTTCCAACATGTTACTCCTTCACTTGTGACCTAGTATCGTACCCTCTTGCACCCTCACTCCTCATGGGCGTGAGGAAGAAGACTGAGAGCCATTGCTTCACACAGTCCAAATTCTGTTGTTAGCATAATTTTTTTATATGACCAGTCATTTAATTAGGTTCTTGGCAAAAAATTTAGATCACCAATTTGTGAGGATAAACCCCATATGTAAGGGCAAACACAGATCGCAGGTAGCCCTGGAGCTGAGGAACTGCTTTGATTTTTGGTAAAATTTGCGAGTCCACAGCTTTCTGATCAACCTTGCGCTGCTCTGAAATCTCATATTTCTCCTTCTCTGTGTCGAAGATCTCACCTTCCTGGTGTCTGAGTTTCCGCAGTTTCTTTTTCTCGAAGTAAGCATTGGTAAGGTGCTTTGGAATTTTTATTTTGCTAATATCGATTTTTGGGGAGGTGGCAATGACAAACGTCTGGTGTGTTTTTCTAACTAGAACTCAATTGAGAACCAGCAATCCAGTTACAGTTAGCAAGCCACTGCTCAGCTGCTTCAGGAAAACCACACTCTTGCCTCTGTGGTGTACAGTAAAGGATGATCAGAATGGTCCCAGGAGTGATGCTGGCTCGCAGCTCTCTCACATGCTGACTGAAGGTTTTTTTTTTTTTTTTTTTTTTTTGCCATGGCTCAACAGCTTTTGAGGCACATCTTCAGTAGGATAATACCTAGGCATTTTGCGCAGTTTAACCACCCGGGTACCACCATTCTTGTCTCTACCAGCTGGTCTGTGACAGTCGCAAGGACCTTCTCCTTTTTCTTTTCGATCCTGAATTGAGTGGCCGAATATTTCCTCTTGTACATGGCCTTCCTGGAATACATGGTAGACTGGGAGTATCTGCTGATGCCCTGGACTAGGACTGGATTCCAGCTGCAAAGGGACTTCCCCCTCTTGGGCTATTTAGCCTTGGGGTCACCCTTTTTAACCTTGCCACTGGCATCAGCCTTCTTGGCTGTAGTATCCTACTTCGCAGCTTTTTCACCTGCCAGCTTGTATAGTGGGAAAGAGAACTGCTTGTTAGTATAATTTTTAATGTTTTGGCCAGAGGGTGCATGTTCTCACTGGAGAGAGGCAAAGAGAGAGGGAGGGAGAAAGTGAGGAAGCGCCCCACATGGAGGATAGTTGGTCCTGCCACAGTCCCTTCTCTTCCATTTCTCCTTTTAGGGTTTTGAGTATGCACACACATTCGCCTGGTGCGTTTCTCAAGCCACCAGGTCCGGGATGCAAACTGTGTGGTTGGCTATATGGGATCCACTCACCTTAACCAACATACCACCCGCTGTTCTCTTTTAGTAAACATTTTAATAAAATTATCCAGGGAGTGTCTTATGATTTTTAGATGGCATACAAAAAATATTCTAGATCCTACAATTCTTTCTCCTTTTTATTTAAACTTTTTTTACTTACCTTTTGGTAGGTAATATTTGCAAATGCCAGAGTGCAAAAGATAGAGAAGCGAAAGAGAGGTTTCTCCTGTGCTTCAGCCATCCAAGTCCCTCCCAAGAGACAAATACTACTCATGTTCCCCTTATTTGTATGAAAAATAACTCCCCTGCAATTGGGAAATCTAATTTATTATCAGTTTGAGAAAAGAACTAACACAGAATATAATGAATAGCATTCTATGAAAATCAACCTGGGGTCGGCAGATGGCATAATGATTAAGGCTCTGGACTCCCACATGGCCAACCGTAGTTCGAGTTCTGAACCTGGCAGCTTGCCTTTTCACTTTCTTTATCTCTCTCTGTCAAATTAAAAAAAAATAATAATAACAAATAAAATTAAATTAAAAAAAAAGAAAGAAAATCAACCTGAATTGACTCCTTGGGGGTCGCATCAAATAATGTACTTTGTTGCTTTGAGTTGTGGATTAGATTTCAGATTCGCAAATTCTTAGAAGACAACATGGCAAGGGCTCTCCCTTGGAGCCAGCCTGTTCAGAGTTGGGTCTTCCATTTATGATAATGTTTATAGGGACTAGGAAATGGCATAATGGTTATGTCACTGGACTTCCATGTCATCGACTGCAGTTAGAGTCCTGGACCCAGTGGCTTGAAATTCATGCTGGGCACGTGTGCACGTATGCCCAAGATCCTGAGAGGAGAATGGAGGAAAAGGGATTGCAGCGTGGCCATCCCCCTGGAGGATGATTTCTCGCTTTCCGTCTCTCTTTTTCTCTCCATCTCTCTGGCAAGTGCTCACACCCTATAGCAAAAATCTTTCTAAAGAAAAAAATAATAATAATGTTTATGTTCCCTTATCAGCTGTGGTAGCTGTAGGACTATTATCTCCCAAGCAGAACCACCTGGGAAGACCGAAAGGTTTTCTCATCCACAGTTGCTATAGCCATTGTACTAGACTCTCCTGTGCCAGATAGGAAAATTTAATACGCTGACCTCACCCTAATGACCACACCTCTGAATATAATAACCTTCTTTAATTTTCTGCTTCACTGATGAGAAAAAAGGTAGTGGCTCTTTCCACAAGTGTAATTCCTTTTCCATGCTCTTTTCATCAGAATAAAAAAGAAAACTTGTATTTTGCTGATGTGCTTTGGTGTGTCAGGCACAACTGCCTGAGGGACACATGTGTGTACGTATATGTGCGTATGTGTGTGCAAAGGTCTATGTATCTATATGATGTCCACGTCTGTATGCATACCTACATCTGCATCTGCATCTATGCAGAACTGCAAATAAATCTCATTACTCAAGCAGCAGACATTACCTCTAATTAACAGTTGAAGAATCTGAGGTTTGGGAACCAGCAGTTAGCGTCATGGCTATGTCACTGGACTCCCACGTAGTCGACCGCGGTTCACGTCCCGGACCCGGTGGCTTAAAACTCACGCCGGGCACGTGTGCATGCGTGCCCAAGATCCCGAGAGGATAATGGAGGAGAAGGGATTGCGGCGTGACCATCCCCCCTGGGGGGGGTGATTTCTCGCTTTCTGTCTCTCTGTCTCTGTCTGTCTGGCGAGCTCACGCGCCCTATAGCGAAAACCTCTCCAAAAAAAAAGAAAAAAAAAAAAGAATCTGAGGTTTGTGCCAGTCAAGTGGTGTGGCGGTTAATGTGGCTGGATCCCACATGGACAACTGTACAGTTGAAGACCCAGACCAGGCAGCTTATAAAACATGCCAGGCACATGTAAGTGCATGCCAAGAGGAGAATGGAAAAGGGATTGCAGTGTGGTCACCCCTCCCTGGGGAATGCTTTCTTACTTTCTCTCTCTCTCTTTGTCTCTCTCTGGTGAGTGCATGCACTATAGCAAATTTTTTTTAAAAAATGATAAGGGCCAGCAGCTGCCATTGGCGGTTGGGGCACTGGACTCCCACATGGCCAACTGCGGTTCTAGTCCTGGGCCTGGCAGCTTGTGTTCTCACTTTCTCTCTCTCATTCTCTCTCTCTGGTGAGTGCATGTGCCCTAAAGCACATTAAATAAGAATAATAAATAATTAAAGAAATAATTTGTTTTAAAAAATGTTAAAAAAATAAAAAGGAAAGAATCTGAGATTTAGAATGAAATGTAATTTATCAGAAGAATACTGCTATAGCTGCCTCTTGCATCGTAGGTGGCTTTAAGTTTATAAAGTGTCATTGATATTGAAGTCCATATGGTCTAACTTTTCATGTGTGCCTAAATGTGTATTTCTATTTTAGGAATTTGACAGAGCCAATGCACAGAAAGTGCAGCAGTTATTTTGGGAAGTCGAGGAAATGTTATTTGAAGGGAAAGTGAGCCCCCAGACCCAGAACCTACAGGCTGAATGCAGTGAGTGGACAAGCAGATCCCTCCACCTGAGGTAGGAATTCTCTGTAATGTGGTTTTGAACTATCCAGTCGTAAGTCGGTCTCAAACGATTGGTACAGTTTGACTGGAAGCACTTGCCCTATCAAAATATGAATCTTGAATATAGCCCTTCGCTGAGAAACCACATCCTGTATCACGTGTCTGAGAAAATACTGAGAAATTCTAACAACGCTCAGGGCCTTTTAGTTGGTGAGAAGCAAATCAAGCTCCTCCTCAGAAAGGCATTAAGTATGTCACAATTGCAAGAACAGGAGGGATAATCTTCTGTCTTCACGTGCACCAGCTTGTCAACAGTACACGTCTGTGCTGTTCACTGAGGACAGTGTGAGGTACATAGGGATGAACAGGGCAATTTGCTGACTGACTGGACAGACGAATCTTCCCGTGTCACCGCCATTCCTTACGTAGGGAGGATCAACTATTGCTTTTATATCAAGGTTGAAAATGTTGATTACGTATGAAGGGAAGCTATTCTTCCTCAGTCACTCTGCCAACCTACTTAGGAGAAAATCCGTGTTGGTTATCTGAAATTCCTCTCTATTATATTTGGGGAGAATAAATTAGAATACTTGTATGACTTATGGGTGAATTTTCTGGTTACTTCAACTATTTAAAGTTTTAGAATATCTTGACTAAGTCGTTTTTCTTTTCTTTTCAATCGTTCATGAGCTCTTGGTGTTAAAGAGAGCTAGATATTAACTGTGGATGGTTTTCTGGGCATGGTGACTTACTGAAAAGTCAGGGACTTGAACTAGTTCCTGCCATTGTTTTCTTACATGGTTAAAGTAGAAACATGGAAAGGAATGTAGGAAAAGGAAAGATCTCAAGGTCTGTAAACCAAGCGTATATATGTATACGGTCAGTTAACGTCCGGTCAGTGAGAGACCACGTACGTGATGGGGGCCTGTAGGGTGACTGTATGCCATGTGACCTCAGGTGTGTAGTTGGCTGTACTGTCAGGTTTGAGTAAGTACCTGATATGACACTGCACCGCGAGGCAGTCACCTAACATTGCATTTCTCAGGACATGCCTGTGTTGCTACGTGACACGTGACTGTTTTCATTCTGTATATATCGGTTGACATTCATGGAGAACCTTTGTGTGCTCAGCCATTACCTTCAATGCCTACGTCTGACATATAGTACCTCTAAGCCGGTCCCCAGCCTTACACGGTACTATTTACTCTACTTTGCACGTGAAAAACCAAGCAATGACATCAGGGCTGAGCGAGCATGAGAGCTAGGCCTCGCAGTTCTCCCAGGAGGTGAGAAAATCCTGCTGCTCTCGAAGCCGGTGTCCTTCTGTGACACCATGGTGCTTCTCATGACAATACTCGGTTTATCACATTGAGTCCATGCTTGCAAAGTTATTCTTGTATCCTTTTAAAATTATAAAACATTTTTTTCTTATCAAAACTTTTTTTTTTCTATAGGGCGTGTGCACTCGCCAGAAAGAGAGAGACAGACAGACAGAGAGACAGAAAGTGAGAAATCACTCCCCCGTGAAGAGAAGAGGCTAGAGAAAGATAGCAAGTGAACAATAGAGAGACAGGACGTTAGTGAGAAACAGATAGGGCTTATTAACTGTTGATGATGACATGTATAGTATTCTCAACTGGATTGGTCTGAGAAGTATTTCATGATGGGCAAAGTATTTTTACAAGCAAAACGAGAAATAGCAATTGACTGTTTTATAAAAATAATTAGAATAATAAAAATAATGATTGGGGAAAACAGAAAAGATATGGAATGCTGAAGTGGGGAGATTAATGTCTCTGTACTGACTGACATGCATGGCATTCCCTTTTGAAAAAACAATGTAATACACTGTAAAGTTTATGTAATTCAATGTAATATAAAGAAGATTATGATGATAATAAAAAAAAAAAAAAAAAAAAAAAAAAAAACCCCCCCAAAAAAAAAAAAAAAAAAAGAAATCACTCCCCCGCCCCCAGCCCTGGGGGGATGGCCATGCCGCTATCCCTTCTCCTCCATTCTCCTCCCAGGATCTTGGGCATGCATGTACACACGCCCGACGTGAGTTTAAGCCACTGGGTCTGGGACTCGAACTGCAGTCAACTACATGGGAGTCCAATGACATAGCCATAACGCCAATTGCTTGTCCCTCTTTATCAAAACATATTAATAGTTTTCATGAATTTTCCCCCCTTGAAGAGTATTAGGAAGACAGCTGATCCTGCCAGCTGATGAGGGGTTCCAGCACTTCCAGGGTAGTCTGCCCGGTTCTGCTGTCTGCAGACCCTTACGTGACGCCTGTGAGCACCACGGCCACCGCAGAGGGTAAGCACGTGTACTTTCAGAAAGTGTTGTGAAACATGTTCTAGTTAATACCTTTTCATGTTTATCTCATTCATGAACCTTGGCTCCACTACATAAGCATGTTTAGATGGAGGGCAGAGACAAAGAACGCTTTTTATAAGATGTTTCTGATTCTGAATTGATGTTGTGACCCAGACTGGTGGTGTAGCCAGTAGCAAATTGAGCTGCAGTGCTGGAGACCACATGGCCACCCTGGGTTCAGAATCCCAGGTCAGCCTAAAAGCATGCTAAGTGTGTGTCCAGGCTCCCAACAAGCTGGAGGGCCAGGGAAATGAATCAGACGATTAAACCCTGTTGAGATTGTTTTTATCTTTCTCCTTGCACACACATACCCATACACTCTATCATGAAAAGCAAACTTTAAAATATACATTAAAAATAAATGGATATGTGTGTATGTGTGTGTGTGTGTGTGTGTGTGTGTGTGTGGCTGGACGAATATATGGCAGATATATATGGAACACACACATACATTGAAGTTCACTTCCACTTTTGTTCTAAAGGCACCGTGGAAGGTGAACTGCATACAGAATCAAAAAAATTGCCTTGCTATGATGGATCCTAAGACTCCGTAGCACCAGAAGCAATAAAACTCTGTACTGTTTTATTTTTTCTCCTGAACAGATTTTGATAAATCTCATTATGCCATTTATGCCTATCAGGCCTGTGCTGCAGTATCCTCTCATTAAAGTAAAGGCTATAAACTCATAGAATAAGGTAGCTTTTTAAAACACCTTACTAATTATTTTAACTTGCCCAGAACGTACATGTGCTTCCAGAGAGAGGAAGAGACTGGGAGGGAGTAAAAGCACCTGTGAGGGGGTGTGATCATGGCCCAACACCTTTCTTTCATTTCTCCACCCATCAGGATCATGGGCACACACACACATGTTCCTGGTATGTCTTTCAAACCACTGATGCCAAGATTCAAACTGTAGTCAGCCATGTATAAAATACAGCTCCCTTGGGACCAGCAGTTAGCATAATGGCTATGTCGCTGGACTCCCACATAGTCAACTACAGTTCGCATCCCGAACCCGGTGGCTTAAAATTCATGCTGGGCGCGTGTGCATGTGTGCCCAAGATCCCAAGAGGAGAATGGAGAAGGGATTACGGTGTGGCCTTCCCCTCTGGGGGGTGATTTCTCGCTTTCTGTCTGTCTGTCTCTCTCTGCCTATCTGGCAAGCGCACGCGCCCTATAGCAAAAACTTCTAAAAAAAAAAAAATACAGCTCCCTCCACACAGCGCTTAACCACTGTCCCTTAGGCTGGTCCAAGCCCTTAATATTTTTAATGATTCTGGGTCAGCAGGTGGTATGGTGGTTAAGTGCACTGGATTCCCACGTGGCTGCCCTTGGTTTGAGTCCTGGACCTGGCGGTTTGCTTTCTCACTTTCCCTTTTTTTTTTCTCTCTGTCTCTGTCTGGTCAAATAAAAAAAAATAATGATAACAAATGGAATTAAATAAATAAATAATTATTTTAAATTATTTTAATGATGTTTATGTTAAAATATTTTTAAGGACATATTTTGTCAGGTATAATATTTAATTTTTTTTAAAGAGAGATTTTTGCTACAAGGCGCACCTGCTTGCCAGAGAGACAGAACAGAACGCAAGAAATAACCCCCCAAGGGGGATGGCCATGCTGCAATCTCTGCTTTTTCATTCTCCTCCTGGGATTTTGGACATGCACACACATGCACCTGGCATGAGTTTTAGGCTGCTAGGTCCGGGACTTAAACCACGGTTGACTATGTGGGAGTCCAGCAACATAACTATTATAGCATCTGCTGGTTCCAATTATTTTTTATTTTATCAAATGTAATATTTACGTACTTTTTATTTGGATTTAGTGGTTTATGGACAGTTTAAATGCACACTATGGTCATGCGATTGTGGTCTCGATGGTCTACGAACCCCCATGTAGACTCTCCTTTGTTCCCCCATAGGCTGTGTGTCTCTGGCTCCCAGGTAGTCCCAGCAGCCCTCCCCGCCTCTGCCCTGCCAGGCCCCGATGGCACAGGGATCGCCGACCTCACACCACGCTCATCCCTGGAGGAAGAGGTTTACGACATGGATGGAAAGATTGAAGAATATTTTGCTTTCGACAGAAAAGAAGAGTAAATACAATTTTATTTGATATTGACTTCTTAGTACGCGCATATTTGACAGTCCTTTTTGTTATATGGTCACTTAGTATTTTCTCTGTTTTCACTCATCTAAAAGATTTCTACTCTTTTGAGAGTACTGTAGTTCCCAAAGCTTGTAGATTTTAAGCAGTAAATATTGGGTCATCGGAAAAGTCATGATGCATTTTTTTGCATAGAAAAATCATAGAAAAATACGTCTTGACTTTTCCAACGACCCAGTATATACGCTGGAGTAATGCTCCCCTGTCTTCTTGAGAAGCATCACACAGACGGCAAGCAGGGGTTGTGTTCATCACGCTACGAAAATGGACAAGGTTCCTAGTGGCTATCGTTCTCGGGGGACCTCGCTACTCTATATCTGGCTGCTCAGAAGGGCAAAGGAGAAGTTCTAATCTTTGCCCTAAATGCATACTTATTCTTAAACAGAAGCTATAAATACTGTGGTAAGAATTTGTCTCCTGGTTGAAAATTGAGACATTAGAAAGTAACAGTGTGCCAAATCAAGCCTTAACAAACTTAAGAAAATTGAAAGTACAAGAGAACTTCAAAAGGTCATGGAAAAAATGGAATTACAGTACAAGGTAATTTGGGTGCAAAAAATGTTTAAATACATGCATAGTTTTTTCATAAAATGCATTTTCTCATGAACAGTTTGAAGAGCTCTTACATATCAAGTATCTTTTCTTTTCTTTTTTTTTTTGGAGAAGTTTTTGCTATAGGGCACATGTGCTCACCAGAGAGACAGAGAAAGACAGAAAGACAGAAAGTGAGAAATCACCCTCCAGGGGGGATGGCCACACCGCAATCCCTTCTCCTCCATTCTCCTCTTGGGATCTTGGGCATGCACACGCGCCTGGCGTGAGTTTGAGCCACTGGGTCCAGGACTTGAACCGCGGTCGACTACATGGGAGTCCAGCCACATAGCCATTACGCTAACTGCTGGTTTCTCAAGTATCTTTTCTGACCACACTGGTATAAAACTAGAAACCAGTAACAGAAGGAAAATGGGAAAATTCACAAATATGTAGAAATTAAACATTATTATTTTCTTAATTGCCAGAAGGCACTGATGCTTCCTAGACAGAGAGTAAACACTACCGGGGGCGTGGTCCCACTGCAATCCTTTCTCTCTGTTTCTCCACCCTGCCAGGATTTGGGGCGCACTTGCACACGTGCCTGGCGTATATTTCAAGCCAGGGCTGGGATTGGAACTGCAGCTGTTAGAATCCAATTTCCCACACACAGGGCGTACCTACTGCTCCTGGGTCAGCTCTGAGCAACATCCTTTTGAACAACAAACGGGTTAAAGGAAACATCAAAAAGGAAATTAACAAAAAAAAAAAAAATCTTGAGACAAATGAAATGGGAACACAGGATATCAACTTATGGGACAGAGAAAGGCAGTTCCAAGAGGGAACTTGATAGCTATAGATGCCTATAATAAGTAAAAAGGTCTCTAGTAAATGACTGAACTTTATACATGAAGGACAGGAAAAAGAACAAACCAAGCCCACAGTTAGTAGGTAGAAGAAAGAAAATCACAAAGGTCAGAGCAGAAATAAATGAAATAGACTAGAAAAAGCAATAGAACAGATTCCTGAAACGTAGGTTTATTTTTGTATTGGTTTGTTCCCCTCCCCAGCTTTACTGAAATAGAAATGATGAATAGAAGTGTACGTATTTAAAGAAAAGGGGGCTAGCCCCGTAGCCTTCTGGTTAGAGGAACCAGACCCCACGTGACTGACATGGTTTGAATCCTGACAATAGTGTCTTTTTTTTTTTTTTTGAGAGGTTTTTTGCTATAGGGCGCGTGCGTGCGCCAGACAGACAGAGACATAGAGACAGAAAGCGAGAAATCACCCCCCAGAGGGGATGGTCACGCCCAATCCCTTCTCCTCCATTCTCCTCTTGGGATCTTGGGCACGCACGCACACGCACCGGGTCCGGGACGCGAACCGTGGTCGACTACGTGGGAGTCCAGCGATATAGCCATTATGTTAACTGCTGGTTCCCGAATCCTGACAATAGTGTCTTGAGAAACACTCTGGGTGCATGTATGTGCATGCCTAAAAATCTCGAAAGGAGGGAGAAATGGGGGAGAAGGGATTGTAATGTGAGCATGCCCCATTGCAGGGTGCTTTCTCTGTCTCTCTCTCTCTCTCTGTGTCTCTCTCTCTCTGTGTCTCTCTCTCTGACAAGTACACATGACCTCTGACAGTTAAAACGACAACAACAATGTGCTGTTTAAAAAAGGCATACTGTATTTATTAACACGTATGAATGAACATAATGGATATGTGGTAGTTAGAAGGAATTAACTTTAACCGTTGAGTCTTTCAGTAATTAGAGCGGGTCTTTATCTTTAGTGATGAGGCATGTCCTGAACAGACGCCAGCTCATCGCCGTGGAAAGTGGCAGAAACATGGACTTCCTCCCGTTTCCCCTCATGACTGCATCAAAGATGCGGTGGTGTCCGAAGTGTTTGATCATGTCTGGAAAAATGCGGTAGAAATATTGGAGGAACTGATTAGAAAAAAGTGGGAAACTACACTCACAGGTATTTATGGGTGGGATTTGGCCCAGTGAAAAGAAAAAAAAAACTCTGACTCTCAGGGGGAAGAGAAGTGAGCTTCATTCAAAAGTGGTCCTCAATCACTTTACTGTGTTTTGAGTTATGAAGAAAATTAAGAAAATAATAATACATATGTACTGTGGGGAAAAAGCACTGAAATACATAAGATCAGAAGCCGCTTTTGTGTTGTGGCTGAAAAAACTTACCTAATGAATCTCTGATAATGGAATATTTGATTTTCATTATGTATAACATTGTTTATAAAATAAAATGTATACGTAGCTACTTTAATAATAATTTCACTTAAACTACTTAAAACTGAGTAGAAATCAATCAGAAAAATCAGTGGTAGACATTAATGATTAACTTTATATAATTATTGTTTACTATAAGGATTAATCATGCTAGTTTAAATTTTTTTTTTCCAGCTGAAGGGATTAGTTGGGTTTTATAAAATACTGAGAATATGTATATCTTTTTTTTTTTTTGGAGAAGATTTTGCTATAGGGTGCATGCACTTGCCAGAAAGACAGAGAGAGACAGAGAGACAGAAAGGGAGAAATTACCCCCCGGGGGGATGGCCACGCCATAATCCCTTCTCCTCCATTCTCCTTTTGGGATCTTGGGCACTCATGTACACGTGCCTGGCTTGAGTTTAAGCCACCGGGTCCAGGACTTGAACCGTGGCTGACTACATGGGAGTCCAGTGACATAGCCATTACGCTAACTGCTAGTCCCTGTTTTTTTTTTTTTCCTACCAGTGGCTATCGCATAGACTGATGGTAAGTTAAGAGCAAATATTCTCTTCGAAAAATGAATTTTAAGAATATGTATTAATCTCATGTTTTTTATACTGATCTCCCTTTTGACACAGAAATTAAAAAACAGAAAGAAAAGTTGAAAGTAGCTGAAAATAAACCTGCAAATACACTCCTTTCCCGTATTAACGCCGACGTTTTAAGTGTTCCCCCGTCCAGAAGTTCTGAAACTCGCAGCGTATCTCTAGCTTCTCATCTGAATCCACCCCAGGTAGGTGCTTTTATGCTAGACCCTCTCTTTCCTTCCGTCTTTATGTCACTCACCTCAGTTTGTCATGTACCATCCTGTTAAATTCTATTACCAAGATACTTGGGGTCTGTTTGTCCATAAGGCTAAAATGTGTTACCATTATTTCATGACATCTGATAGAATCATCGCATTTGTTAATGAAGCACAGGCACTCAGATACTGCTTGGAAATGTGGAGTTGTTTGTTATATTTTAGGAGAGAAAAAAAAATGCTTTCCACCTCACATTTTTAGCTAATTTCATGGTAATAAATGATCTCCTTTCCCCCTCCAAAATGATAGAAAAAAGCAATGAATGTATGAATGTACATTGAGTTCATTTAACATTCATTTAACAGTTACTGGTTATTTTTTTTGGAGAGTTTTTTTTGTTTTTTTGTTTTTGTTTGTTTGTTTGTTTGTTTTTTGTTTGTTTGTTTTGCTCTAGGGCATGTGTGCTCACCAGAAAGACAGAGAGAGACAGCGAGACAGACAGAAAATGAGAAATCACCCCCCAAGGGGGATGGCCATGCCACAATCTCTTCTCTTCCCTTCTCCTTTTGGGATCTTGGGCATGTTCGCACACGTGCCCAGTGTGAGTTTAAGCCACCGGGTCCGAGACTTGAACCATGGTCAATTACATGGGAGTCCAACCATAGCCATTACACCAATTGCTGGTCCCACATTTACTACATTTTTATTAAGTGTACTTACAGTAGGTGTTCTTAGGAAGTATAGAGATGAATAAAACTAGGTCCCTGACCTAGTCAAACAAAAATAGTAACACAAGGTCAGATGCAATGTGTTTTGGGGGGAAAAGTGTTATAGAAGAATCAAGGTGAAAATGATTCATCCTAGGTCGAGGATGAGGGTTGTCCTTTAATGGTAGAGGTGAAATGTGAGCAGATGAACAAATGAGTAAGATTTTTGTGGGTGAGAATTCTGGGTAGGCCATTTCAAGTCAAGCAAAGGCATGGATGAATGGAAGATGGGATGTATTCGGGGACCAGTGATTGGACTCCGAGTTTGGAAGACAGGAATCTAGAAATAGCAGGACACACTGACAAGATCAAGGGATTTGGAATAGAGGCCCATGTACAGTATTATTTTTCAGCGTGTTAATTTTTCTAAATTTTAGTGTCATTGTATGTATAAGGATAATAGTATGTTGCCCAAGTGATTGTTGTATGGCTAAAATCATAGAACTGCGTGAGAGTTCTGACCTAGAATCTGGCATCCACTAAGCACTTACCAACGTTTCCTTGAATTGCATCTTTCTTCAAATATCAAGTAGCAGGTGAGGCTAGAAAGGTGGTCCTGCTCATGGGAGGGCTTCATTGTTGCTAAGGAGTTTGGACTTTATGTTTCAAACAGCTCATCTTGTGTGGGGAGCACAGAAGGACAAGATGGTGTCTTTGTCCTTGTTTTGTTACTAACAGAGGTACCGAGGCTGGTGAAGTATAAATAGGTTTAATTACTCACAATTCTGTTGGCTGGAAAGTCCAAGAGTCTCATGAAATGGGAAAAGGCAGAACTTTCAGTAAAGCTTAGCTGTATCCATGTGGTTTTCTCCTTGCCATTCTGGTCTCATTCCCTCTGCTGGTATACCCACCATCACTCGGTCATAGAGGCTTAATAGCATTTTCACACTCAAAGGCCTTACCCTGGGACACCAAAACTAAATTTTCACCTAGTACCTTTACAATACAATCAATACAATTAAGTCCCAATACCTGAGTTTCTGGGAGATACCCAGTCACCACACAGTAAGACCAAATTCTACAACATGAAACTTTAGGGGACAAACCATGTTTTAAACCATAATGCAGGAATCCTGGTCTTGAGCTACATACAATTTACAATCTAGTTGGAGGGAATCGGCAATACCAAATGATACTACACACATACACAACCAACACACACACACACACGTAAGGCAAACGTAATTGATAGCAGAGTGACTGCGAGTTTGGGCTTTGTGTAGAGCCTGCAAGTTTCGAGCCCAGTGTCACTATTTATTAACTCCATGGTCTTGTATCTGTCCCCTTCTGTCAAATTTTAATTTTATTACATGTTGAGTCTATGACGTAGAAAGCCATGAGAATTAAAGAACTGAAAGAAACATTTAGTATCGTTGTGGCATAGAGTAAGCGCTCAAAAATTGTTTGCTCTTATTGTTATAATCAGATGCTAAATATGTATTATATAAGAGGACTTTAGAAGTCTGTGGAAAAATGAAACTAAATCATGAGTTTATTTTGGTACACAAATTTCAAAATTCACGTGTAATTTTTTTGTATTATACATTCCCGTGAACCTTTTGAAGACCTTTGGATATTATATTGCATATGATGATTTGTAACTAGACATGTTTAGATCATAAGTTCTGTGGGGTTGAGAGAAATAGCATACCTTTTACGTAATAGAGTAAGACATGAACTAAGCCCTAAAGGATATGTAAGATGTTTTTTAAGCTGAAAAAGAAAAGAGAGTTTATTCAAGACAGAGACAAAAATACACACCTAGCACAGGACGAAATATATAAAATGACTTCTTTTTTTTTTAAGTTTTTTTTGCCACTAGGCGCATGCACTCACCTGGTAGACAGAGACGTGAAAGGGAAAGTGAGAAATTACCCTCTGGAAAATGGCCATGCTGCAATCCCATCTCCTCCATTCTCCTCCTGGGATTTTGGGCATGCATGAACATGCCCCTGGTATGATTTTCAAGCCATTGGGTCCGGGACTGGAATCATGGTTGGCCATGTGGGAGTCCAGCATCTTAACCGGCATGCCATCTGCTCTGATGGGCTTTATACAGTATTTCACACTTTATTTAACTGCAGTATGAATCTCATAAAAACAAAAGTTGATGACAGTAGGGCCAGCAGATGATGTGGTGGTTAAGGTGCTGGACTCCCACATAGCCAACAGCAGTTTGAGTCCCAGGCATGGTGGCTTGAAAATCATACCAGATATGTGTGCATGAGTGCCCCCAATCAGGACATGAATGGAGGGAAAGGATTATGGCATGGCCATCTCCCCTGTGGGGAGGGGGTGATTTCTTGCTTTTTGTCTTTGTCTCTCTGGCGAGTGCACACATCCTATAACAAAAATCTCTCTTAAAAAAAATTAGTACTTCTGCTTTCACAAATGTCATCTAATTTAATTCTCACAATAGCTCTATGAAATATCTTTATTTCCCAACTTAAAGAGAAGGAAATGAAAACTCCAAGAGCAAAGTTGTCTTTCCAAGGTCACCAACCAAGGAAGCAGTTAGAGTTGGGATTCTGTGTAAGCTTTTGAGACCTTGTGTTTGGGTTCTTTCCGGAATGTTCTGGGAATAAAACTTGGACTGGTGTGAAGGATTTGATAGGAGATGCAGACTGGCTTAGAGCCATGAGACCTTCCCTTCCCAGGTCCTCCCTCCCCCTTTGTCATCCATGTGCCCTGGAGGCTGATCTGTGTCAGAGGACTGTGTCTCTTACCGTCCGGTTTCTGGGAGCTCAGTGTGTGAGAGGAGAAGGGGACCCGGCTATTTTCCTCAGGCTTCCCTGCAAGGTGCTGGTAGGTTGGTAGTATTTATCTCTGGGCAGTCACTTCCTTCGGATGCTAGAAATCTCTCTTCTGATTCTTGCCTGAGTTTCTAATGAGTCTCCACTGCTCAGAGCCTTATGGAATTAGCCAATTCTTTAAGTTCTTTTCTCACAGTTCCATAAAATGTAGTGGCTATATTAGCTTTTCCCCAAATTCACAGTTGGAGTTTGCTGTTTATTCCCTGCTGGTTCCTGATAGGCCTCAATAATGGGGATAGTTAGATATTTCTTTTCTTCTTTTTTTTTCTTTTTTAGAGAGAGATTTTTTGCTGTAGGGTTTGTGCACTCTCCAGAGAGACAGAAAGTGAGAAATCACTGCCCCCCCCCCCCAAGGGGGCCACGCCGCAATCCCTTCTCCTCCAGTTTTCTCTCGGGATCTCGGCCAGGCTCGCACATACACCCAGAGTGAGTTTTAAGCGGCCAGATCCGGGACTCGAATCGTGTTTGACTACTTGGGAGTCCAGTGATGTAACCATTATGGTCTCTGTAACATCTGCTGGTCCAAGAGCTAGACATTCCTTAATTTGTATTTTGATTGTTTTTATTTTATTAGATTCCTCGCTTCTCCAGCAATTTTTATAGTGATTTGAACGGCGTGATGACAATTCAAGCAAAACCACTTCAGCAGAGACCTACCTATTTTGCAGACAGAACCCAGTAAGCGTAAGAAATAACCACCTAGCCTCTTCCCTATCCTGGAAACACCTGAGCACTGCAGGCTACAGGCGACCTGAGATAACGAGGACCCCGTTTAGCCCCGTGCTCTGACAAGGCCAAGCTACTTTCCAGGGAGAATACAGCCTGGGTTGGGAGTGATGAGAACAGGGATGGAGCTGTGCATCCCTAATCTTGTGGATTTTACTATTTAATGCACTGAGAAATTTAGCTCTTTTTTTTCCTATGGTTCATTCTTCACTGAAATTGGGCTCTACCATTATTCTCTTTACTTTTATGCCACAGGGTCTTTGATTCTGTTAGTGAGTGTGACAGTATCCTCCCAGCCCTTACACTGGAGTAACTAGCTGGGTTTCCCTCCTAGGAATGAGCAAGAAGACAAATCATTGGGCACTGGGGGCAATGCTCTTTTCTCTGCACGCCACCGACTGGGACGAATCTTAGATACTCGAGGATCACAGACTTCCGCGAAGAAAACACCGGTGCATAGGAGATTGCCGTCTCTTGCTTCAGAGACACAGAGAATAAAGACCCCTAATGTGTACAGTGATGAAGTTCTTAGGGGAACAAAACTGTAAGTCTTGTTTCTCTCATGGTAAACTTTTAAAGGTCACGTAGAACAGAGATATTTGTCCTTTAGAGTCTATGGATTGTTCTAGAGAAGGCATCCTCTGTTAAATTTTTTTAAAAATAATTATTTTATTTGACTTTATTTATTTTAATTTGATCAGAGAATGGGGAGAGAAAGAGAGAGAAGGAAAGTGAGAAAGCAAGCCGCCAAGTCCAGGACTCCAACAGTGGTCAGCCACATAGGACTCCAGTGCTCTCATCCACCACACCACCGGCTGGCCCCTCCTCTGTTAAATTTTATGTATTTGCTTTTCTAGTGAGTTCATTAATTCGAGTATATCAAATTAAATCCAGTAGTATACCTAGCTGTGTACCAGAATATAGAGTCAGGCAGCATGACTGTGGCGCGGACAGCTGAAGGAATGAGACTCTGGTGGTGGGTGACCTTGGGTGGATGCCAGTGGCCTTTTCTGTAAAACTAATAATTCATGCTTTTAAATGACATAATTAACACTTTTTTTTTCAGTTGCCAGAAAATGTGTGCATACGCCAGAGAGAGACAGACAGGGGGAAAGTACCCACCACTGCGGCGTGGTCATGCTGCAATCCCATTTCTCCATCGTGTCGGGATTTGGGCACACACACCTGTCTGCTGTGTTTTTTCAAGTATCCAGGACAGGCTATAATCTGTGGTTTGCCATCTGGGATCTGGCTCCCTGGCTTCAGGGCTAGCCCCATAATTAATACTTTTTATGAGGAAGTTTAAGTAATAACAAAATTACACTCATAATAGCATCGAGTGTTTCTTGATTGCTTTCTTTGTTATTGGCAGCAGATAAATGAATTATATTTATTAATTTATTTAGTCTCCACAACAAAGCTTTCAAGTTGGGATTTATATTATCTCAGATCTAAGATGAGGAAACAGAGGCTGGAAGAAGTAGAATAATTTGCCAAAGGTTATCCTTATGGGAAAAGGCAGAGCTGAGCACTCGTTACATACTGTGCTTTATTGTTCTCTGATTAGGTCAGTAATTTGGCAACTCCTTAGGAGAGGAGCTAGATTTCTGTTTCTTCTGTGTTCAGCAGTGACTAGCACAGTTGAGCACTTCATTGATCCAGACCAGCAGTCATTGCTAAACTCAGAGGGGATGAGCTGCTGATCCCCACCTACATGTGTCTTCCTGAAACTTGGCTGGTTCTACTTGAGCATCGTACGTGGTAGGCAGATTGTCATTAATGGCTCAGATTTGGATGCGGGAAGATGGCATAGCATAAAGTAGGACCTTCTCTGAGACACACCCACATGGGACAGTTGCAGGTACCTGGCCAGAGACATTCCCGAGTGCCTGCAGCACGCCTCTGCCCATGTCTGCACCGACTGAGCCTGAGGATGGGTTGCAGCAATAGGAAACGGTCAGGGGTGCTGTGTCTCTGTCTCTCTCTCTCTCGCTCACTCAGGGAATAAGTAAGAAAATAGCTCAGGGGGCACCAAGTAGCATGGTAGTTAATGTACTAGGCTCCCACATGGGCAATTGTGGTTCGAGTGTCAGACCTGGCAACTTGAAAATCATGCCAGGTATGTGAGCATGCATGTCCAAAGTCCCAGGAGGATAATGGAGGAGAGGGGGTTGGAGCAGTGCCATCCTCTCTGGGGGGTGATATCTCACTTTCCTTCTCACTGTCTCTCCTCTGGCTCACACCCCATATAGCAAAAATCTTTTTTTTAAAAGGTTTTTTAAAAAAAAAAAAAAATGAGAGAGGGACCAGCAGTTAGTGTAATGGCTATGTCACTGAACTCCCATGTAGTTGACCGTGGTTCAAGTCCCGGACCTGGTGACTTAAACTCACACTGGGCACATGTGCACGTGTGCCCAGAGGAGAATGGAGAAGGGATTGTGGCATGGCCATTGCCCCCAGGGGCGAATTTCTCGCTTTCTGTCTCTCTGTCTTTCTGTCAAGCGCACGTGCCCTATAGCAAAAACCTCTCCTAAATAAATAAATACATAAGTGAGAGAAAATAGCTCAGATTGGGGGCCCCTTGGTAGGATCTATCCCTCTGTCTGCCCTGAGTGCTCAGTACTGCATTGTTGTGTTTGTAGACAAACTGGCACGGACCACGCGTCCTCCCCTGCAGCTCCAACCACCCGGAGCAGGTTTCCTCCAATAGGCCCAGAGACCGGGGAGCAACACCCAGCAATTCCCGGATCCCGCCCTGTTTCTGTAAGACCAATTTTATTATATTCCATTATATTGATATGCAGTGTTTAGAAAGTCTATTGGAAAATAAACACACAAAATGATCTTGGTACTTGCAAATGAAAATAGTAACCTAAAAAATGATCTCATTAGCTACATTCAAATGTCTTCATAATCTGCTTCCAGAAAGCAAATAGCTTGTGAGCTGTTTCGTTAAGGGTGTTTGAGGGTTAATTTGCCATATTGTGATATAAAATCACGGCTTGAACTAAACTAGAAATTTCAAGTAGAATCTACTGGCCAGAATAGTGTAACAAAGGGAAGAGACTGTCTATGTGATTCGAAACAACTTTAATCTCTGTCCTAAGGTTGCTCTTCTCTGTAGAAGGGGCATAATGATTCCCACCTCGAAGAATTGTTATAAAGATTAAATGAACCCGTGTGTGTTAATGCTTGGTGCATATTAAGAGATCAGTATCAGGTCTCATTTTTACAGCCAGACTTTACCCCGTTTATTGCAACATAGAAGCAATATCTTCACTCAAGGTCAACTCAGCCAGGCAGCTGCTTGGGGTCTAGAGAAGGAATGTTACTGGGAGCATAGGTTTCCCCCAGATCCACAGCTGATCCCTCACTTCCCTCTGATACAAGTAACTCTTGTTTGTTTTATAAGACACAGAAAGACCTCAGTTGTAGGAACATAAAAGCCTAAAGAAACCAACAGAGGCAAGGCTTTCTCAGCAATAGAGCTCGTTCCCAGAAGGCAGGAGTCGCAAAGCTTTCATGTTTAATCTTAGAATGAAGTAATGAGAGAAGGCAAATTCCACGTAAACAGGTCTGATGCTTTGCAAATGCAGAATTACATTTCTATTATCATTTAATGTTAAATTGTACATGGTGAAGGTTTTTGATGATTACTTCTAATAGCACTGCTATTTTATATGATTTAATAATGCAGTTATGCAATTAATGTATATCTAAATATGTCTCCTTCATTGACCTTATACTGAGCAATATCTAAATAAAAAATTTTCAAATAAGTAAGTGAATGAATAAATGAGGGGATTGAAGCATAGATAGATTTTCTTTTGTCTTTTCAAAGACCACATTTATTTTAAACAAGAACATAATATCCTTCATTCAGTACAGAGGAAGATACCCACAAAGCCGTGTGCTAAGTGCAATGCCTGACAGCATTGAGCGATCACCTCTTCGAGAAAGAACTATTGCCCTGGAGCAGTTTTCAAGGCCCAGTACAACACAGACATTCCGGGTAGGTTCTCTGTTAATTGTAACTTGGATTTTTAAAAATCTTTGGAAAAAAATAGACAATCATGGTGGTGCATGCTTATAATCTCAGCTACCCTGAAGGCTGAAACAGGAGGATTACAAGTTCAAAGCCAACCTGGCTAACAGGACAAGACTCTGACACTCAAAATAGATCAATAAATATTTGAAAAATGTGGAAAAAGTAAAATGCATCCCTTATTTTACTTTTTTCCTAATAGTCGGATACACCTCGGAAAGCTTCGTTGACCCCCGTGGAATTTGCTGGTCACACCTGGACAGGTCAAAGTATTTTGACAGGTCAGCTTTTTCCCTATATAAATAAAATGATGTAATTTTGTGAGATTTCAAGTTTCAGAAAGCGAAATTGAAGTTTATCTACTTTGATAAGCCTATTTTGATCATGTGAGGGTCATTTCTGCACTGTTATCTTTTAGCAAATACAGGGAAACTTCAGAAAGTCTGTGGCCTGACCTCAGAAATCTCTATCCAAAGCAAACCTGCACAGAGACGCACGTACCTGCTGTTAGGAAAAAAGGGGGGAAATGTCCAAATGCTGTTAATTAACTGGAGACCTCGTTCTTGTAAGAAAAGAAAATGCTGGGACCAGCAGTTAACGTAATGGCTATGTCACTGAACCCCCATGTAGTCGACTGTGGTTTGCGTCCCAGACCTGGTGGCTTAAAAACTCATGCCAGGCGCGTGTGTGTGCATGCCCAAGATCCTGAGAGGAGAACAGAGGAGAAGGGATTGTGGCATGGCCATCCCCCCTGGGGGGTGATTTCTCGCTTTCTGTCTCTCTGTCTCTCTCTGTCTGTCTTGTGAGCACACACGCCCTATAACAACAACAACAAAAAAAAAACTCTCAAAAAAAAAAAAAAAGAGAGAGAAAAGAAAATGCTGTCTTGGGAGAAGTTATCTCTCTCTAGTAGAGAGTTTTTACACTTTCCTTCTAAATAAAACCCAAATTTTAGCTTTCTTTTGGAAGATCAAATAAGAAAAGTGCTAGAAAATTAATTAAAATTTGCTGATCATTTGATAACGTTGCGTTTTTAACAGAAAAATATGTATTCTCAGACTAGCCATGCTGTTCGAAGAATAAGGTTGCAGTTTGAATATGGACCAGTGATGTTTTGCTTTTCAAAACTGTTACCAACACTTTTGTAGCATAGCATCATCGTCATGAGGCCTGTTATTCTGAGATCCGATGCTAGGTCTCCATCCTACTAGCTGAGCTGCCTTAGGAATGTCTCCACCTCCTCTAGGCCTCAATTTATTTGTTGATAACCGACAGGGTAGATAGAATAACGATTGGGAAGTCTGTGTATAAGACGTAGAGAGAAGATGCCAGGCATTCATTGTTCGCTCAAAAATTACGAACCATTTATATTAGAGATAATTTGAAATGTCAAGGAAAATTTAATATTTTTGTTTGTTTTTAAGTTTTTGCCATAGAGTGCATGTGCTCTCCAGAGAGAAAGAGAGAGACACAGAGAGAGAGAAAGTGAGAAATAATTTTTCAGGCGGGCGGACATGCTGCAATCCCTTCTCCTCCAGCTCCTCTTGGAATTTTAGGCATGCACACACATGTCCCTGGTGTGAGTTTCAAGCTGCTAGATCTGGGGCTCCAATCATGGTTGACCATGTGAGAGTCCAGCACCTTAACCACCGTGCCACCTGCTGGCCCCCCAAATGTACTGCTTTAAAGGTGATTTTTTTAAAAAATTGCTATAGGGCTCATGTGCTCATTAAGAGAACCAGAAAGAAAGAAAGTGAGAATGTACCTCCCTCTCACCCCCCCCACCCCCCGCCAGGGACAATGGCCATGCTGCAATCCCATCTCGTCTCTGGAATTTTGGGCACTCATGTACACATGCCCGGAGTGTTTCTCAAGCCCCCAGGTCCAAGACTCAATCTGTGCAGTCAGCCATGTAGAATCCAACTGCCTTAACAACCACGTCTCCTTGTTGGCCCTTAAGGGAAAATTTTAATCTATTATAATGCTAAAAATAAATTTAGTAAAATGTGAGCATCCTATAACACAGATTTGTCACTCTTGGCATCAGACTCTTTATATTGTAGACTTTAGTGATGTCAGGGATCCTTGGGCCCTTTACAACTCTTCTCCTATGCTAATAAGCCGTAGGCTATTGTGACTTGTTTTTTTCTTTTTTTCTAAGTTTGTTTATTTCTTCAATGAGTAAGAGAGTCAGAGCGAGATAGAGACAGAGGTAGAGTCAGCACCTGTAACAGAGTCTTCACACCTTGTGTACCCCCAGCCCCAGCCAGACTCACATCCTGGGGTCGTGTGTGCCTGATGTACGCAGAGAGGGCTACAGACACAACCTGGGGCCTACCCTTGTGGCTCAGACTTGCAGGGCGGTGCGTTTGCTGCTGTGACTTCCTGTCACTTTTCCATGAATGTTCTCCAGCAGGCGTCGCTATCATCCTTGGTGTCAACTGTACTTCCTTTTCTATGATTTTGTTTCTGTTTTGTTTTGTTTTTTAATTTGCCCAAAGGCACATGTGCTTACTGGAGACAGAAAGAGAGAAAAGTGAGAAAGCATCCCCCACGGGGAATGGCCAGGCTGCAATCCCTTCATCTCCATGTCTCTCTCCTTTCAGGATTTAGGGCACTCACGCACATGTTCTCGAGGTGTTTGACCCAACTCGAACAGCGTGGCTGTTCGTGTGGACTGCAGCCACCCTAGCCACCACATCGTAGGCTGGCCCAACATTAGTCATGCCACAGTCTCCTGATTTTAACGTAATTGGAGACGGTCAGGGAGAAAGTAGGTGTTTGAGTTTTTTGTTTGGTTGGTTTTGTTTGTTTGTTTGTTTGTTTTTTAAATTAATCAATAACTATGTACCAAGTAAAGTTCGCTCTGTGCCAAATTGTGTGCAGAAGGCTGGGACTTCAACAACTGGATGCTTTGGTCCGAACCTCAGGGAATATTCGCTCTAGTAGGGAAGATGGAGAAGGCTTTGAGAATGGTGAGCAGGGCCATCCAGCTCAGTACCCAGGTGAATAAAATGGGGCTAAAAGGCTTCCTGGAGGAGACAAACACCCCCTGGCACTTAAGAGAGAAAGGAGTCCAGATTGACAGGAGAGAATTCTGTATATCACCAATAGTTGATTAATTTAATTATGACGTGATTTGCAAAATAGGAAGTGAACATATCTGTTGGATTGTTTTGGGTACCTAGAAGTAAAGGTTAAGAGAGAGAACTAAGTTCTGAACTTGTTTTCAATCCTACTCTGTTGGGGCCGGCAGGTGGTGTGGTGGTTGAGGCACTGGACTCCCTCATGGCCGACCGTGGTTCGAGTCCCAGACCTGGCGGCTTGGTTCTTAGCCCTCCCACGCACCCCTGTGTGTATCTCTCTTGTCAAATTAAAATAAATGAATGGATAAGTAAAAACAAATGAATAATTATTTTTTAAATCTGCACCGTTAATATTTTAGGAAGTACAAGGAGTCTTCAGAAAGTTCATGCAAAATGCATATAATGAAAAACTACATAATTTTCAAAATTTTTCTCACACTAAAATAGACTCATAATGAATTTCATCTTTCTGTGAACATTTCGAAGTTCCTTTTCTGTCAGTGTATTTTCTTATCAGTAACTGAAGGTTGAGGGTCCTTTATCCAAAATGATTGTGACCAGAAGTATTTCAGATTTTGGATTTTTTTTTCAGATATTGGGATATTTGTACATGTATAATGAGGTATCTTGGGGAGGAGAGCCCAACCAAACACAAAATTCATTTATGTTTCATATACACCGTTTCCATATAGCCTAAAGATAATTTCATCTGATATTTTCATACTATAGTCCTTTGGCTATGACTTGTCATATGAGGCCAGAAATGGAATTTTCCATCATAGAATTGTTCAAAATGGTTGTAGAGTATTCCAGGTTTGAGGTTTCAGAATAGGGATGTTCAACCATGATGGACAAGACATCTTTTATTTTTTAGAGAGAATTTTTTTTGTTTTTTGTGTTTTTTTTTTTTTTTTTTTGCTATAGGGTGCATGCACTCGCCAGAAAGACAGAGACAGACAGAGAGACACAAAGCAAAAATTCACCCCCCAGGGTGGTTGGACATGCCACAATCCCTTCTCCTCCAGTCTCCTCTTGGGATCGTGGGCACACACACACATGCGCCCGCCATGAGTTTAGCCACTGCGTCTGGGACTCGAACCGTGGTCGACTACATGGGAGTTCAGCAACATAGCCATTATGCTAACTGCTGGTTCCAAGACCTCTTTTATTTCTAAACAAGTGACCAAAGGTACATAAGAGAGATGTCCCTGTGTTTATGAGGATATATTTGCTTTTTCTCTGATACCCAGGGACATTGCCTCTTTGCTCTCTTTTCTTCCAAGTCAAAAAGCACCAGATGCTGGAAACTTACTGGTGTGACATTTGTTCTTTAGTAGGAAAAAAATAAGGAAGAAGGTGAGGAAGAGGGTATCCCCAGTAGGGAGAAGGATCTCTTAAGGCAACTGGCATTGCTCCTGCTGCTGTGGAGTAGTAGAGCTGCCAGAGTTCCCTATGCAGTCTCCCGGGCCTTAAGACCAACCTCTGCATGGAGGGTTCTTGCAAAATCACCAATAACTGGTAGGCACCTAGGTTTCACTGGTTGGGAACACCTTTCCATTTCTTCAGGTCCCCAGGTGGCAAGTTTTGCATGTAACTATCTCCTGGTGTGTGTAAAAATTACATTCAGAGTTTATTTATTTATTTATTTATTTATTTATTTTCCCTCTTAAAGAAACTGTTGGTGGGACTGTAAACTAGTACAGCCCTCATGGAAAACAGAATACTCCTCCAAAATCTAAAAACTGCCTTCCGACAAACTGATTCTACTATTGAATATACACCCAAAGGAGAGGGAGGGAGTCAGTCTGTGGAAGAGACATTTGCACACCCATGTTTATTTTAGCATTAGTCACATGGATGTGCAGATGTCTCTTCCACAGACTGACTTCCTCTTCTTTGGGTGTATATGTATATATATATATATATATATATATATATAAAATGTACAGAACAATATACATTATATATATATACATATATATATATATACACATATATATATGGAATGTACAGAACAATTCTTTTGAGAGGTTGACTTTTTAATGTTTTAATGAAAATTACAGGTTCACAATATCAGCTGAAATCTTTTCAGAGGACAACTTTGACTTCAAGAAAGAGATTCCAAGTGGCATCTTGATATTACTCCACCAGAACTGCGACTCTTCTTGGGTACCCAAAGTCTCGGGATGCCATTTGTCACTCGAACAGTGGAAGAACAAGTATTATACCATTTATCTGTCTGTCTGACAGTCTATTAGACTACGTGAGAAAAACGCAAGCAAATGAGCAACTTAATTTAGAACCCTTTGCAGTGTAAAGAGAATCAAAGTCAAACTCCCTGAATTTTTTTTACTGGAAGCATTTCTGAAGTTCCTTAGACTTTGCTCAGAAGACCTTAATATGTGTTTGCAATACATTGTTCTATCAGTTACACACATAATACATACGATTGTGTATGTGTACTCACACAAGTTAATATGTAAGAGTATATTATCTATAAATATACCATTTTGTAACTTCGTATCTCGACTATTTTTTTCATCTCATTCTGTTAATAATTTCATGAAAATCTTAAGTCACTGACAGATGTTACTTCCTCCTTGCTGACCCCGTAATCCACTGGCTAAGGAAGCCATATCCCATGTAGCCAGTTGTGGTTCACATCCCTATCTGGTAGCTTGAAAACATGCTGGGTAAGGGGACCAGCAGTTGGCATAATGGCTATGTCTCTGGACTCCCATGTTGTCAATCGCAGTTCAAGTCCTGGACCTGGTGGCTTAAACTCACGCCAGGTGTGTGTGCGTGCGTGCCCAAGATCCTGAGAGGAGAATGGAAGAGAAGGGATTGTGGGGTGGCCACCCCCTCTGGGGGGGATGATTTCTCCCTTCCTGTCTCTTTGTCTGTCTCTGTCTTTTTGGAGAGCTCACACGCCCTATGGCAAAAAACCTCTCCAAAAAAAAGAAAGGTCATATTTAAGATTCTGTCAGTGTAAGATTCAGATCGTCATAGTCAGCAGGCTGACTTTCCTTATGCCTTGTTTTTAACTTTAAAATGCTTTAATTATGAATCTCTTTGGGAAATGTCAGTGGCTGATTCTTCCAAGCCAATTTTACTCTACTAGTTTTCATTTTCAGATTCAGGGAACCTGTTTAAAACTCTCTCACATGTATTGATTTTTGAAGCCAAATATAAATGTAATTAAAATCTAGTGTATATGACTTCATCTTGATTGTTTGCAATTGAAGCGCACTTCGATTGGACGGAAGGCTTTGTAGCAGTGCCCTCCTTGTGTCGCCACGATCTGATCTTTGCCCAGATGTCACCTCTGCAATAAAACCTTCCCTGACCCTTCCCTCTGGACTCTCTGTCTTCTTGCCCTGCGTTGTTTTTTCTTCACAGCATGTTTCCCCCTGACGATACTGTAGACAGTGGAGGTGAGACGAGAAAAGGGAAACTCTCCATTGGATGCAGCTCTAGGTTTGTTTTTCTTTTATCCATGGCCTCCCCATTGTTTTCTGTTAGAGCAATTTAAATTTTCAGACTCATTCTGATATTCTCACATCTCAAATCAGCATGAGTTCTCTTGTATCAGATAATTGTGTTTCAACTGTCTAATTTTGCGGTAGGCCAAAGCAAAGCTTTCTACATGCTTTCGCACACACGTACACACTCACATAATAAGTTACTTTCAGATCTCCTTTTGTCTGTAAAGAGATGAGATCTTCGCCTCCTAATAGATGTCTGGAAATAAAGAAAATGGCCGAGGGAACCAGCAGTTAGCGTGATGGCTATGTCACTGGACTCCCACGTAGTCGACTGCGGTTCGTGTCCCGGACCTGGTGGCTTGAAACTCACGCCGGGCACGTGTGCGTGTGTGCCCAAGATCCCGAGAGGAGAATGGAGGGGAAGGGATTGCGGCGTGACCATCCCCCCTGGGGGGTGATTTCTCGCTTTCTGTCTCTATGTCTCTCTCTGTCTGTCTGGCGAGCGCACGCGCCCTACAGTGAAAATCTCTCCAAAAAAAAAAAAAGAAAAGAAAAGAAAATGGCCGAAAGCCAGCCATGTATCACACTACTAAACACTGTGCATAGGGAGCTGGATCTTACATGGCTGACTACGGTTCAAATCCAGCCTCCATGGCTTGAAAATCACACTGGGACACGTATACACTCAAAATCTTGTCAGGATGGAGAAATTAAAGAAAGAGGTTTGTGTCGTGAGCACACATCACGGGGAGTGTGTGCTTTTTTTCTCTTTCTCTGGTTAGCCCATGTGCCCTCAGCTTGAATTAGTGTCATTCTTTATCCCAAAGTGACAAGACAGAAATGAGCCTCGAGCATTGTCTGCCTTTGGTAATCTGTCCTCTGCCTTCTCTAGTCCATTTTCTGTTGCGGTGAGGCATGGTAGGGGGAGAAACAAGAATGATCACTATCCGTTCTTCGGGAGAGCCGCCGCTCCAAAACTCTCCATAGTTGTCCTAATGCTTAGGACACAGAGCAGACGGAGACATTTTGAGAATTTTCATAGTGATTTTAAACATTAATGATGGAACTTTTAAGAGAAAATATTTGTCTTAATTTAGCAATTCTCAGCTGTAAGTGGTCTGGAGCCCCTGTGTAGAGGGTCCCTCGATCAGTGCTCCTCAGTCCACAATTACTGCTAAAAAACTGTCTACCCTGTTCTTTTAGAACCATTTAACCTACTTGATATCAATTTCCAGGGATCTATTCAGCCCCAACTTCTTAGAAGGGAAAGCAGTAGATAATTAGCTTAAACACATTAAGGTAGGATGTCCAAGACAATTACGCTTTTTTTTACTAAACCACT